AGATACAGGGAAAATGGGCAAGGGGAACGCATCTGTTCACACATTCTGGAATCCTAGCAGCTACCAAATTTTGGAAGGTTTAGGAAATAAAAAACAGCAGCGTCTGTACTTTTCACTGTGTACTATGTAGAATGTAAGACTAGAAGGAAACAGGAAGCTCACAACATAATGACAGATGCTAAAGTTTCTGATGCTCTTTTAAGTTTCCAAGTATATAGTAAACTAAGAAGATGGTCCTTTAGCTACAAATCAACGTTTTATACTAAAAAAAGATCCATTCCAGAAAATAGTTTTTTTTCTTCTATTTTCACTTAACGATAAACAGAAAAATTACTAAAGCACAGTAACAGACATTATGCTAAAATTCCTTTTGTTCATATTTTCCAACTCTTAATAGCTTGGCTAAAAAGTAGTCCACAGATAGATCAAGACTGCTTAAAATATAAAGAACAATGAACTCAGATATTTTAATTCAAGAAGCTAAAACAAAGATTTACATGTTTTATGCAGAATGTTTTAGTTGGAATAATTCTGTTACATCACTAACTTTTTTGTACTTTCAGAGGATGAGGAGCAACAGAGTTTTAAATACAGGAACCACAATATAATTGTTCGATTTCATTAAAATGAAACTGAGTTTTTACCTACAAAAGGAGAATCTCAATATGTATCTCCAAAGTACTTCAGTTACTTAACACTGACAATCAGTTTATACTAATACTAAATACTTTTTACATATGACGTTATAATACATATGATTACATGACTTCTATATGCCAGATGCAATGTACTTTGAACTCCAATAAATAAAAATCTTGGTTTAGAAATACCTGCTATGTCATCAACAATTTCTGTGTATGTTCTACGAGCTATGTCAAGGAATTCATTGATGTTAGGCTTAACAGCATAGCATTTCTGGGTCCTCATACTCAGACATCCTTTTGTGTACCTTGTATCGTCATTAATTACAGTTGTAATCTTTTCAAGTATAATTCCGAATCTGCAATATTAGTTGTATCACTAATTAGCTACATAATACTTTGTAATTTTGGAATGATATTGCAAATAAAAATTGTAAATGAAAGTATTACAGATAACTGAAGCAAATTATCTACAGTTAAAACCAAACACTAAATTTCACGTCTATTTTTACCTCAGAATGAAGTATGACTATACCCAAGTCTGACCAAAGATATCATTCAAATCTTTGGGAGATATAAATTATTTCTCAAATATACAGGCAACAGTCGATTTTTGATTATGGGGACTCTAGGAAACCACTACTTCTGTCTTTTCAGAATTATTTCTAATGGAGTGCAGTTCATCAGCAATTGCAGTATCATAGCTAACTCTGTTTTGCTTTTTTCCCTATATATGTTAGTTGAAAAATAGAATTTTTTACAATTCAGCTTTTAGGCAAAAGAATTGAGCTATACCTGTAACTACAAATAAACAAAGATGCAACGTCTTTAATCTTACAGACATTCTTAAGAAAGATGGGAGTTACTAAGATACTAGCTAAAGTATTATGATAAATACCTTGTATCTTCAAGAGAATTATAATAAGCCTTTAGCAGCGGTGTGTTACAGCTTCTTAAAGCAGCCTGTTAAAGATTAAAATATGGACATGATCAGTTACTTCTTTTTGTAGCCCTTATAAAGGACTGAAAGTTCTTAAACGCACTAAGGCTTATTAGCAGTTGCATAAGCAGCCTACGGAATCTGAGCAGCAGTTTCAGTTAAACGTTTGTTATAAAATCAATTATTCAGGTAATGGTAGGAATCCAGTTCTTAAGAGTATTAGACTCAAATGTGTATTTTCAGTTGGCTTAAGAATTAACAGACCATGTTGGCAGTATTGTGTTCTGCAAGATATAATGTAAATTTTTTTTTTTTGGACTCGATGATCCTTATCGGTCCCTTCCAACTTGAGATATTCTATTCTATATTCTATGAAATATAACAAACTGCACTGTATAAAAAGAAGGACAAAACGGTCTGTACTTCATAAAAAAAAAAAATGACAGACTGCTTACTTTCAGAGGCTCCACAAGTTCTAGAGTATGCTTCAGGTAAATTAAATTAGTTATTTTTGATTCAGCACTTTTAACCTGTTGAAAAATTTTACAAATATCAGAGAAGTTTGTATGTCTGCCTGTTTAAAAAAGTACTTAAGAACTAGCAGAACTCATACTGTTAACTGTAACAGGTTTATACTTTTAATGAAAATTGCTAAAATACTTTATAAGCTCACTTTGACAACTCGATGTATAACTGCATAAAAAAATGTTTACCTAAATTTTACATTGCCTACTGTTATAATTTGCCCATCAGTAGCTAACATTTTCACATCTGCACTGATAATGAACACTCTGCTAACCCAAGCTGTGAAAATTTCTATTAATCTTCTATGTATACATAGCTCTATACAAGCTCTACACAGCCTGCAGACTCTTTCAAAGCAGATACATTATGCATCATAATTAAGAAGCATAGCCCTTATCATAAATGCTGTTAAACACAACATAACCCAATTTGGTTGACTTATCTTTAATTTAACATTATATCCTTAAACATCTGCCCATGTAATTGAAAAAAAAAATCCAATAAACGTTTAAAAATTTTGCTTACAATAATGACTGCTCTTCAAAATATTCTGTCCACGTACACATTCTACCTTGTTTTGTATGTCCCATTAACATTTGTGATAAAGAATTTTGCTGCTGGTATTAGGGCATATGCTATGCAGTACATATGCACTGTGTGAGAGGATTTTAAAAAACCAACATAGATAAGCACATTGTTTGGTTCTGAAGAAAATCTAGTGTCAGTTTTCAACATGAACATAGGAGTATGACCCCATGTGAAATCTTTTCTGGTTTGTATGTAATACCTCTTTACTCTTGTGGTAGAGGGCAGCTCTTGCCTTATCTTAGCTTCTGTATAAAGTTGTTTTCTGTAGAAGATAGGACTAAACAATGCTAAATGTATGAACGGAAGAATCATAATCCGCAAATAAATATGGGGTCTAAGTCCCATGATAGAATCGGACATCAAAAGGACAGATATGGTCATACGTGAAGAGTTGGTATTCCGTAATGGAATGTACCTTTGCTAAAATAGTTCTTATAGGAACTTTAACTGAACTGGTGTTAATTAAAAGTGGATCTTTGTATGTGCTGCACTTTAGGGCCAAAGGGAGAAAATGAACAAATACAACTATAGTCGGTAACTCTTCTATATAATGTTACTTCTTTACGATTCATTAATGACTAAAATGCAAGCCTATCCTTTACAGCATCAGTACTTAATTTGTCCACAGTCACTCTGGTATGTAAAGCATGACGATTCAGAGAAGCAGTTGACTTTGGTTTTGTGCTAGAGACTTAAGTCCTACAGATTTAAGTGCTATGTCAGTAGATCATCCCTAGTCTAACTTTTGTATTTCCTGGAAATTCATTTAAACCAAAAATACTGGTACCTTCTCCCTGTGAGAGAAGGAATCAATCTGTCACACGCCTGGAACATCATCAGGCACAGAATCTATTGAATTTGTTCTTCATATGGGTGACCAAGTAATCCAGAGCAGGTGGTCCTCATTTCCACCAAAAGTTGGACATTGATCCAACTTCTAAAGATCCTTCATGATTGAGACAAGAGGGTCTTTTAAGGAAATCTGGGGTTTTTTTTGTCCAGATACCTTTAATTTGCTTATATATGCAGATATCATAAGAGGAAGTACTTGATTTCACCGATGACATGATTTTTCAAGTAACACATTCAGCAAGTTTTTCAGTTGATGGTCCTCCTTAGGATGAGAGAATGCTCATGTTGAACATAGCACTCACACTTCCAGTGACTGAAAGTGATAAAAGCAACTGAGCTCGCACTTGAATGAACATGTCTGTTGCACGAATAGTAAGCTCTGTTATATTGGAGCCAGTCAAGGTTGAAAACACTGCAGTTAGAAGTTTGGTGTACATGTGTACATGGTCCTATGTATACATAAAGGAATCCAGCCTGACAGTTTTAGTCATACAGCTGATCTTTCATTCATGTTACAGATCTCTACGAGGAAAGCTGGGAGCAATAACCATTCAGCTTTTTGGGTATGTCATTAAAGAGATTTATCTGCATTTATTACAGTCCTGCTGGAACGTGTACCTGATTTCTTTAACTGGCATTAGACAAATCATTTATCTAAGCAGAGAAGACGCTGAGAGGTGAAAGAGTTGTAAATATCTATGATGCTGGCATACCAGCATAAACACAGGCAAGCATAAGCCTCAAAAGCACTGGCAGAAATATCCTACTCAAGTACAGTAGGCAAACATAACTTATAATGGAATGGTTACAATATGCTTAGTATAAAGATGTTGAGGTTCAGTTATCTCAGGCTCACTGTGGTTAACTCTCATGTCTGGTCTCAACCAAGATCCAGTAGTAAGCTACATGTATTTATGATGTTTTGATATTTGTACTGTATGTGTTAATGTACAGATTGATATACGAGGCAAGGTCTGATGAAAAAAATAAGCTTTCTTTGAAACATGTTAATAGTCACTAGGAGGGAAAAAGCTTTTATATCCCCTTCAGCAATTTTTGTTTACAAACTAGTTAAGAACAGGAGCTGACCTCCAGTCTAACAAAGACACACTGGCACACTGAAAGAAGAGAAACCTTAGTTTAATTAATCACAACTATCTCCCGATTAAAAACATTACCATGTGATTTTCAAGGTGAAAGATTAAATCTCTCTCGAGCTCCTAAAAGACTTCAAAGGGCAAATTCACTAGAAATACTGAGGAGGAAAGAGGGGTTCTAAGGAACTTGATTCTGAAGGTATATTCAGCAATTCTTGCAAAGGTGATCTGTGACAGAAGCCGCCTCTGTTGGTCAAATTCCTGAATGCACTCTTAATAGATGCAACATGAGGCATAAGGCACTGACACAGACTGAAACCATGGCTGCC